AAAGATTATTGAAGATCAAGAGAGTTGATCAAGCGAAAAATTCGGGAATCGAAAAAAAAACACATGAAAAACAGATTGGCTGAAAATTTAATAATGAACATTAAGGATTTCCCTGAGTAGGTCCGGCATGGCCAGGTGGTTAAGGCACTCGACTCGCAATCTGAGGGTCGCGGGTTCGAATCCCTCTCATACCAAACATGCTCGCCCTTTCAGCCGTAGGGGCGTTATAATGTGATGGTCAATCCCACTATTCGTTGGTAAAGGAGTATTGGCGGTGGGTGGTGGTGACTAGCTACCTTCCCTCTAGTCTTACACTGCTAAATTAGGGACGGCTAGCGCAGATAGCCCTCGTGTAGCTTTGCGCGAAATTCCAAACAAACAAACAAACCGTTTCTAAGTTTCAACTGATAGACTAGAGGGAAGGCAGCTAGTCAAAGGTCAACTGTAATCGAATAATGGGCTTTGAAAGCCACGATTATGACGTCCTCACGGCCAGAGAGTCTAGAGCGCAACTTTTCGGAAACGAAACGCGAATCTTAGACCATCAGGTCACAATCCTTGATGCTAAATCAAAGCAAAGCTTTTAATATATATTACGTCACCTTCGTATTATTATGCGACTACTCTGAGCCGAATATGGGGATTTACCGACACGGTTATAACGTCCCAAGAGCTGAAAATGCGGAATATGCTCTGCTATATATCGCGACTAGAACTTTGGGCCTTCTGATACGCAGCCAAATCTGATGATCCCTAGAACACGTCCGATTTTAATCATATATAAAAACACGAATATAAAGCAGTTTATCAGCTAGGAGATGGGGAACGTAATTCGCCGAAAGGGCGACATCGCTGAACCTAGGATGCTACAAATTAAAGAGTTCATTAATGGCGTTAAGCTGGTAATCAGCTGAGGTTGCAATCCTGTGAAAAAGTATTTTATTTTGTTGTCAGGTCTTTGACTTTTCCAAATCGTTTTAACTTTGATGGGGCCCGGCATGGCAATGTGGTGTTGTCAGGACTTTAACTTTTCCAAATCGTTTTAACTTTGATGGGGCCCGGCATGGCAATGTGGTGTTGTCAGGACTTTGACTTTTCCAAATCGTTTTAACTTTGATGGGGCCCGGCATGGCAATGTGGTGTTGTCAGGACTTTGACTTTTCCAAATCGTTTCAACTTTGATGGGGCCCGGCATGGCAATGTGGTGTTGTCAGGACTTTGACTTTTCCAAATCGTTTTAACTTTGATGGGGCCCGGCATGGCAATGTGGTTACGGCGATCGACTCGTAATCTGAGGGTCGCGGGTTCGAATCCCCGTCACATCAAACATGCTCGCCCTTTCAGCCGTGGAAGCGTTATAATGTGACAGTCAATCCCACTATTCGTTGGTAAAAGAGTAGCCCAAGAGTTGGCGGTGGGTGGTGATGACTGGCTGCCTTCCCTCTAGTCTTACACTGCTAAATTAGGGACGGCTAGCGCAGATAGCCCTCGTGTAGCTTTGCGCGAAATTCAAAAACAAAAACTTAACTTTGATGACCGAAACCTCTTAGAGACTAAGTGATCTAAGAGGCGTGGATAACTCCTGTGTCGTAGAAATAGTGTCATTTTGTTTCTAGATGAACTCGTTTATCGAACTTCTACTAAACATAAATAATCTCAGAATAAATCTTCGAGAACCATAGAATAAATCTCAAAACATAAACAGTGTGAACAGACTATGATCAGTTGAATTATTTTGCGATGTTGATCGGTTCAATTACTAGTCAATTTTTAGCCACTGTCTGGAATTAAGAGAGAGTTTTGATTGGCTCGTCTCATTTAGAAATTAGGGACAGAATCTTGATGTTAAGAAAAAAAAGCTGTTGGACTTAAGCAAGGATTTTCGAAATGTAATCATTTTCAGACGAAGCTCTCATTATTAATCAACATGACAAGAAATATATACATAATGTAATTAAATTTCGTATTAACTTGTATGAATTCTTAGACTATTAAATAGTTTAATAGTAAGCTATTTGTTCAACGAAAGGGTTAAAACTGGTGAGTTTGACATTTTATACCTTTTTTATTTTTTAGTTTATCAAGTAACAAGCAAAAGTACCCGTCCCCAGTGACGGCAAAAGTTAAAGTTAATATAACAAAAGTACTCGTCCCCAGTGACGGGAAAAGTTAAAGTTAATCTAACAAAAGTACTCGTCCCCACTGACGGGAAAAGTTAAAGTTAATCTAACAAAAGTACTCGTCCCCACTGACGGGAAAAGTTAAAGTTAATCTAACAAAAGTACTTGTCCCCTGTGACGGGAAAAGTTAAAGTTAATCTAACAAAAATACCCGTCCTCAGTGATGGGTAAGTTAACTGAACAACTAGAACAACTAAAACACCAAATTATTCCCGTTAAAATTATACTCGTAATTTAAATATCCCACATGCATTACCTTGCATTTATTATAATTAAAAACCATCTGCTATTCATTTGCCCAACTCACCAAATAATACAAATTGTTTTATTAAAACAGCTTATTACAAAACTTTAATGTCATCAGTTAATATGAATAAATTTATTGACCATTCCCTCTGCGGACTTGTACTGCTAGAAACCGGGTTTCGATACCCGTGGTGAGCAGAGCACAAACAACAACAATTGACTATTCCTTCACCTATGTCATTGATGTAAATAAAAAAGAATAAAGGTCCTATGATTGTTCTCTGAGGTACCACAATTGTGACATTAATCCAGTTTGACTGATCTCCATTTATAAGTACCCTCTGCTTTATTACATGTAGCCATTTTTCTATTCAATTAATCAAAACATTATTCCCCAAACCTACAGAGAGAACTTTTTTAACAAGCCTTTTATATGACAACTTTCTGGAAATCCAGATACACCAAATCCAAACCCCTACACTAATTTACATAAGCAATAACCTCTTCAAGGAATATATTAGTATATCAAAATTTACCTCGAGTGAAAGCATGTTGACTATCCATCAAATTGTTAGGCTTTGTTAAAAGACTTTGCAAAGCTTTTTTTAACAGATTTTCAAAAATGTTTTTCACCACTGATGTAAGACTAATACTCGGACAACTTTTATCAATTTGCTTGAAAAGAATAATAACATTATCCAACTTCAAATCTTCTGGCACCTGTCCATTAATCAAGGACTTACAAAAACATAGTAGCAAGTGGATCACATCTAGTCTTTAACCTCCTTCAAAACTTTTGGAGAAATATTATCTGGCCCAGAAGATGTATCATCCTGTCCAATCTTTTATCTACCTAGCTACTGTTCAGGATGTATAATATTGCTTAAACTTCATTAGCTGAGATAAAAAAATAATCAAATATGAGCTTTCCTGTATTATCCCTCAAAGGCCTTACTCTCACCATGAAATCTTGCTTACTCGTTATGTTTTTTTTTTT